GGAAAAGCACTTTAAATCACCTGGATTGGAATAATATACTTAGATTAACGCAGCTCAGAATAGTTAAAACAAAATATTGTCTTACTTTCAGGTAACACAGGGCTAAATTAGAAATGCATATATGAATATAAAATTTCACCTTTTAAGCCAATTATTCTAAAACGCTTAAAATTAAGACAATCAATTGCTTATATTTTATTAATAATTACTATCGCACATTTAGGTTGATTGATAGACTTACCCCCATGTGAAGCACCCTGGGAGACGTAAACTCTTACGGCAAAAAAGTCTATTTACCTGCAGTTAACTTCTGACTTCAAACAACCATGACCCGACTGTATGTCATATTCCACCACTTCCCCAGTATCCATCTTACCTTTTCCCTGTATTTGTGCCTGTCAGTCTCTTTTACATCTGCAAATCACTCTTCTGCTAACCTCTCCACTTTTTATGACTTTGATGTTCCTCTCTTCTATGAAGCCTGAGGTCAACTAAAAGGCTATTGATAACTATCATAGAGCCTGACATGTGATATAAATAAATAGTCTATCCCACATTCATTTCCTTCAGTGTTTTTGGTTATCCCGCAATGAATAGTCATCTATCAAGTACGAATTGGAGTTAGAAATAGAAAACTCTAATCAGCTTCCAATTCTGAACGTACATTAATTGCCATGACCCCTTTGAGAACAAGACTGAACAAATTTCGGGAAAATATTCAGTGATTTTAATGGCTCTTGGTCTATGAACATACTATAGTTGAGTGGGTTAGAGGAGCATACGTGATGATGCAGAGTCTTCGATATCTCATTTACAGAGGATAAAATAAGTTAGTGCTTAAAGGATCTTGTGACCACATAAATAAAAATCTTATATCCATATTCAGTTATGTGCCTTGGTACATAGACACATTGTGTCACGCGTCACATATTGTTTAATAGCACGTTTATATTTATGTTAATACTATATATAAATACCCTATTCTGTCTTATTGTTAGAAGTGGGGCCTGTTTTTTTCGAATTTTTTCTAATGAATGTCTTTTCATAAAAATGATTTAAATAAACTAAATCAGTCCTAGCATCATGGCCTATTTTTCTGAATATTTGCTTTAATTTGATATTACGTAACCAGATTGCACTGACTTTAAAAATTGTCCAATGGTATTCTTGTACAAATTTATTCGCTTGTACTAACCTTTGGTTTGCAATGCAAATGTTATGTCATTGTAATCGGAGATATTTGCAACATCTGAAATTATCACTTTGGCTTCTTGAACATCAGTATAATAAGCCACAGGAAATGCCGCAAGAATGCTGAATATTAAGCTTCCAATAACGAGCAGGATAGCTATACCCGTTCGAATGGTGTTCGAACCAGTTCCTGTTGGGTTACTACCAGGAGTTCCGGAGCTGGCAAAGACAGGAAATCGAACGGATCGATACCGATCAAAAGCGATTAGTAGAATGAGAATGCAGGAGACGTGAGTTGGGATGCCAAGACTGGCGAATAGTATTCGACAGCTCGTTGCCGACATATCACTTGGCTCGGCTAATTCGACGTAGAGCTAAAAAATTTCATCCACTTTTTTCATTTTTCTATTACGGTTAAAAAATGCATTAATTTTTGATAAATCGTAAATTTTGTTGAGGTAGCCGACTTTAAATACAACTTTCAATTCGAGAAACTTCTGTTTATAAAGCAATGAGTAATTTTGATGAAAATATAAAGCAAAACTACAATCTGAAGAAAGAATAAAGGTCAAAATGAATTGAAATTTTATTTGCAATAAATGAGGTTAATTGAATTCATTTAAGTTAAATGACTTTATTCTAAGTCGATTCTAAAGATATTTTGAATTAATTTATATTTGTTGGGATGGGGTGTGCGATAGACTTTCCTCCACGTGGTGCACCCTGGGCAACGTATACTCATACGGCAAAAAGTCTATAAACCTTCAGTTGACTTCCCAATTCAAACTACCATGACCCCATTCTATGTCATATTCCACCACTTCAGCAGTATTCATCTTACCTTTTTCTCTACCTTTGTGTCTGTCTGCCTCTTTTACATCTGTGAATCGCTCTTTTGTTCCCACAACTCTCGACTTTCCTCTACTTTGATGAACCTTCCCTCTGATAGCTATCGAAACGCCTGCCATTTGAAATAAATAAATATTTGTTGGTATAAAAAAGCGCATATTTCCAATTGACAAATGGTTTGAACTAAAATATCGAATAATCTGTCTGCATCCTCAGCCGTTGAAATAGTTCATTCAAATAACTACTTAAGAAATCTATATAGCATGCATTCTTTTAAAAGAAAATAATTTTTATTTTTACAAAATCATAGTTCAAACACTAAAAGCAACTGCATCACTTATCGACTTAAAGTTATTATATGCACTTTTGATTACTAAAAATATCACCATACCAATTTCGTAATTGGAAAAGCATTTTACCTCAATTGGTTTTAAATGTTTCCGATAATAAGGTTCAAAAAATTTTATACTCAACTTGTCATTGAAAAATTAATTTAGACTTAACCTACTATAGCATTAATACATTCCGCTTACTATTTAAGGCACGTAGTACTGTATTATTTAATTTATTAAATTTTTAAATCATGCTTTGTCCAAAAGTGACATTTTATTAAAAATTAATCTTCATATGGAAAGTTGTTGTTAACATTTTAGCATAGTTCTTTGTTATAAATGTCAAATTCAAAATTTAATTACCTGTAGCCAAATAAAATTAAAAACGTCATTGTTAAAAATTAAGGCTTTTGTTTACTATAACTTGTTATTTTTCAGTAGCGTCAAAATTGAGTAGTTTTTCCGAGTTACCGATAAACACTATTTGACATTAGGATTATTCGAGTGACACTGGCCTCTCAAAAAGATTCATGAATACAAGTTTCGTTCGAATAGGGGGTTTAAAACTAACGGCATTCGACTTCGTAAACAGTAGTTTTCATGCCGCACGCATAGCGATCGAGGTAATTTCATTATTTTGATTAATAGAGTCTGAAATAATCGCGTGGTCGGGTAATGATGTTTACAATTTTATAAAAATATTACAAGTTTTGAAAAATAGGCTTGCTCTAACCCTACCTGAGAGTAAAAAATCAATACTAACCCAAATCGGAAATGCATAGAGTAATTCAGGATCACTTGAAGGAGAATATAATTTTGTTCCAACGTTCAATTAATTGATTGGATAATTATTTTAAAGTTCATCAAAACAATCATTAGGAATGACAAGGAGGAAAACTTAGTTGCAAATAATCAATCACGAAACTCTACTAATTTTACCAATTATATTGATTTGCTTATTTTGAAAATCAATATTAGTTATAATAATCACCTAATTTACATTTATAAAAGAGGTAAATATACTCCATTTTGGACGTTTTGTATTTTTAAGTAGCCAATGACAGAGACTTGTATGTAAGCACAAATTGTTCTTTTATGTCATATTTTATAAAATTAACAATTTACTGTACTACGTGTAACATAATTCTATTGCATAGACTTTAATTATTAAAGCAAATTCAATCCAAACAAAATAAATTTGTGGTGGTGATGATATATTTCAGAAAGCAGTTAAAACTTTTTAAAGGAAGAAAGATGTGAAACTTTTATAAATATTATAACGGAATCCCATTGCCCTCAACATTTTCCTAAACTCTTCCAATCTTTCATGTGTTGGATTCAACGTTTTCTGACTTTGTTTGAATAGACACTATGGTAAAATAATGATGGCTGAATATCTTTTTTAGTATGATTTTAAAATTGGAGAAAAGGATAATATTTATTATTTGATTGTTAGGTTAATCATAATGCCCTAAAATTAAATTCTCATCAGTTTTAAGAATATTCAAAACGAAATTAAAATTTTGAGAAGCGCAATATTAAGCCCTACATTTCAAAGTTAAAATTGAATAAAGTTTTGTTTCTCATTTAATGTAATAATTCAATTTTTTCGCTTTAAGCTCAATTTCTGATGTCGTATTTTATTGTCTCAAACGTTATAAATTAAAAAATAGATAAATATATATGCATTAGAGAATACAGCGTAAGAGATTTTGAGGAGACAATGATTGATTGAGGGACAACGAATACTAGAGAGGTGGGTAAAATCGATTTTGACAGGTAAAATGAGCATTTGGAGATCGGAGACATATTTGCATAAATTATGATGCTAATTTATTCCAATATAGAGTACATTTTGCACACTTTCTAATGTCTATATACCAAATTATCTTACTGAAGCGTTTAAATCAATTGCCGAATATATTTAATAATTTATTTGATCCGACATAGAAGTAAACAATTATTACCCAAGAACATTGTTCATCGGACTACACAATTTATGAGAGAACAGAATAAAATAATACATTCAAAATTTACGATATGTTACGCAGACTTCAATTATTAAAAAAATTCTAATACTTTCATTTACTTCTATTTGCTTTTGGTCCACCTCTTTCCTTCAAATTCTGCACCGAAACCTCCAGAAATTGGTGAGCATGGATAAAGAAACAAAGTTGATTTATTGCTTTTAGTAAAATTAGGTGCACAAAAATACATTTTTACCCTTTTTGCTTAACAAAGCTGGAACTATTTAGTGACGACTTCCTTGCACATTTGTCGCCTGCATTGAAATTAGCCTTTGATCTTCGAATCCAATGCTTGTCAAAATATTTTTTGAATTCTAAATTTTGGTGACAGCAGTAAAACGGGTCGTAAATTAAGCCTTTTAATGAGAATATAAGGTAAGTGGACAGAGTAAAATTTGTAAATTATGTTAAGAGGCACTTTAGATTTAGTTTATCCAAGTTTTCGCGTTTGTCTTTGGTTTCACGGATTATATTACAGTGAAGTACTCATTCAAGTGAATTTTTATACTGGTATAGTGCTTGAGGAGTCTCAAAAATTAATACAGAGGCCAATAATTTCCAAAAATCAAAATAATGATGTCATCTATGGAAACGTAATTTACAAAAAAGACAACTAAGTCAAAATTGACAGAAAATAATTTTTAACCAGTTATAACTTGATATGTATTAAAAAAAGGCACCAAAATGCAAAAGTAAATATATATAATTCAGCTTGAAATATTATCAAAATTAATGTAAATATTCTGGAAATATGCATTTTTTATCCAATATATATAGCATAGGGTAAAAGAAAAGAAAATTTGAATCGGTACCACAGAGATTTACATTATTTCATCCAATCCTCTCTACCCTCAAACCCTTGATAAAAAATCCTTTAAATTATCATTTTTAAATTGATTTAGCGCTTTTTAATCCAAATTTTGTCTTGTATCTTTAATAAACGAAATATGACATATAAATAAGTTTTTCTCCAAAGCACCTACAAGGTTTTACGTTTTAAGTTTTAAATTTACGACTTGAAAAAAGAATGGAACAGGTAAATGAAATTGAATTACTGCAAAACTAATTAACAATAGCACCTTTTACCTGTGTGGGAACATTAAAAACACAGTGAATCATGTCCGAGAGAGCAAGCGCGCCCACAAAGACATTCGCCTCGCTTCCATGTCGAATATCTCCAATTACGAATAAAGCAGTAAATATGATTGCATTTTCAATAAATCCAATCACTGCTATGGTGGAGTAAAAGGTTATAATTGTTGCAGTATTAATTGGATATCGATGAGTGGCGAATTGCGAAGAGAGAAAAAAATTCACTGTAGGTTCAGTGTTGTTCATTATTATCTGAAAATCAAAATTACCTCTCTTAAAAGCAGACAATACAGGTATAATATAAGTTTGCACTGCCATCAATACTGGTAAATATAAGATAGACTATGATTTTCTGTGACTATATTGCCCTCAAATCAAAGAAGTAACTGGCAATTCGAGCTTACATTTCAGAAATGAGAGATCATTTCAATTTGGTTGCAGTCAATCATTAGTGCACATAAACAAGTCTATTTGATTAAATTAAGCCCTGGAATACAAGATATTGAGACTGATTAAAAACAATGCTTTACTAATTACATTTTAATTTGGTCTTTAGATGTTTTTTTAAACTTTTTTCCCTCAATATGGTGTTTTCTATACTTAGATGGTTTCCCAAATTTAATAGGCCAAAAAGTTTTTATTGTCATTATCAATAGTTCTTTTGGTAGCAGACTATCCCAGAAAACCCACATTAACTATTTCCTTAATATGCACATATATATGCATATAATATGTATGCAATTCGGTGCATATAATTCTTCCATTATCTGATTATCTTCCGATTTATGTGTCTAGTAAATAACGTTAATGATGCTTTTCACTCTCCTTTAAGAATATGTCTGCGATTAGTCAGGAAAGAATTAAATACACTCCCACAGTATGTAAAGATATTTATCAGGGTAGAGTTGATTGAGTAGAAATAAAATGGGATGTAGTATAAAGTAAATCATAAGATTGTTTACAAAAGTTAAATATCATGCTTCAAGTGCGCATTCTGTTGGTGGTTTTCAGTGCTAATTATTTTAAGTGTTTGGTCGACACCTT